AGGATGAGTGGAGCTGAGAGCCAGAATAACAGAGACCCCACCCAAATCACTGCACAAATGCACAAACAGGTGGCTATGAAAAAGCAGGGAAACAACGTGGAGGTCTTCTTGCGGTTAAAAATCCTCCCTAAAGCCTTGAAACAAAGCTTTGGAGGTGATTTTTTTTTTAACTTATGTTTGATCAGTGTCTTACTGCGTGATTGCTACTTGGGGCTTCCGAGACGTTCTTTGATTTTACGGTTTGGTTTTTATCCTGACATGCAGTCAGGAAATTTTAGCACCTTTACATCTGCATCCTAATTTGAGTCAGTCTCTGGTTAAGATGGTTCCTATAATGCAATATTAATTTCAGAATAAGACCAAAATTGCTTTGAATTAGTTTTTGTGGAAGTTCTGAAATTATACAACTTCAGCAGAAAGTTGATTCATATAGATGCAATAAAGAAGGATGGACCACTTGTGGTATTCAACCAATCACTTAGTTTCAGGCTTAGAGCATTCTGCCGGGTAACCACAACACTGTGCAGAGGATGTGAGATGTTGTCCATAAAGGGGAATTATTATTATTATTTTTTTTTTTACATCTCCAATTAAGATTACTTAGCCGCAGAACTTATCGTTCCTTTTAATTTAAGTTTGTTAAGCTTTCAGAGTTACAGTTAAGTCAGTTTATCTGGAAATGTAAACTATAATCTTCATTGACTCTATAGACTGGAGGAGAGTCATACACATTTAAAACTGTCATTCTTACTGTGGCACGAGGAGAATTGATGGCCCATAAAGTTGCATGGGCGATAGTCACAAGGATCACGTGAGTTACGGTGCAAATGAGTAAAATTCACTTGGGAAGGAATGTCTGGACAAACAGCCTGTTGTTCATGCCTGTCAGAGAAGATGATTCTTTGAGTTTAAGATGCACTGTATCGTAAACAGTATTGTCCTTGTAACTGACATTTTTTAAAAACATTCTAAATGTTTTTATACTTACAATCACAGTGTAGATTCTGATCATTTTCAATAACAAATTCTTCATATAATGTTAAAAACACAAGAAGGAGATGTGCAGAGGAAGCTCCGAGGCTCTGACTCTTGAAGAATAGCTATTCACTGTAATGTGACTGAAATTACACTGACAAAAAAAAGTCTAGTTTTGCATATTTAAGCAAACCAGGGAGGCACATTTATGTAAATGAAGATCTTAAAATGATATGTAAAAATTAGGATATATTCAAGAGTATTAGATTTCTCTAAAGCAGTAGGAGGTTGAATGTCCAATTAATTTAGTACTAGAACACCCTCTAGTGGCACACAAGCTCAAACAGGGCCTTCCTTGAACCTAAAGCACACCTACACAGTGTTGGGGAGTAACGGAATACATGTACCGCCGTTACGTATTTAAAATACAAAATATGAGTAACTGTATTCCGTTACAGTTACCGTTTAAAAAGGTG